ACTTTCTAATCTTCTTGTCTTTGACAATAGCCATTTTAATTTAATATTATATCATCTTTGAGTGATTTTTTAGTATTTTTGAGTGTCACAAGAATGTATTGATATTTTAGTTCTTTGAGGTTCATGATCTTGATATCTCCTCCTATAGAAGTGAATAATAATCAAGAATTTGAAATAAAAGAAGTCTTACATTTTAGGCAGTGCTGAAATAGATTAAAATATCTTATTCATTAAAATAGATATGTTATTAGTCAATGCATATGGGAGCCAATAAAGAATCTTAGAAATGTAACAAAGAAGGTTGAAGCTTTTCATCAATAACATCCATTAAAATTAGGATGAAAATTACAAATCTTTGATATAAAAGAAACAAGATTTAAAAAAGATGGCATTCTACCTTCTATCCTTGTTTATAGCTTTTATATATTTGTAGTGCTAAGAAGATGGAGAACCAACAATGAGCAAATTCAACTTAAGACTTATTAGATGAGACATTACTATTGTCAAAAAAATTTAGATGATATAATAAATATAAAGATCCTCAAATAACATGTATTTTTTTTTGAATACTTGGTAAGATATAATATATTTGATATCATGACCTCAAAAGAAATTTCCAATATTTGGTGATTTTATTAGAGGTAGAAACGACTCTTGACAAAGTTTTAAATGTTTTATTTAAAGACAATTATAAAGGTTATAACAATAATATCATATAGTAATATGACTATATGATGAAAAATATTATAAAAAAAGATGTTATTATAAAATAACGTATTAAAAAGATGTAATAGAAAAATAATGATAAATTATAGAGAGGTAAAAAAAATATTTAGATTTAATACTATTTTTTATAGAAAGAATTTTTAATTAATTTATAGAATTTTAAATGAATAAAATCAAAGTAAATAAGATAAAAATTTAATATAAATATATTTAAAAGAGAATTAATAAAATTTTAAAGTAAAATTTATTTCAAATTATCAAAAATTCATACCCAAAGAGAATTAGTTATTAACTTGGATCAAAATCAAATTCTAATGTATAAAATTGGGCCCCTAAGGTAATTCTAAAGATCTTTTATAACTTAAAAAATGAAATATAAAAGAAGACTTCATACGGTTTCTTAAAGCATTAGCTTTGAGTGATTTGAGTTTGTAATGACTTTTTTAGAGCTTTGCAAAGTCAAGGTACTTTTAGATGACTTTGATTTTGTAAAATAAAATAGGGTTTATAATTTGGATAATTTTTTTAATTTTTTAGAAAATCTATAAGTGAAATTTTGTAGGATTATGAGTATAATTTTACTAAATGTATGTTATAAATTTGATCTTAATCAAAAAATTGTATTGGAGGTTACAAAAGTTCAAGTGGATTAAGGCTCTAAACATTGGATTTTTAGATTTAGTAAGCTTAACTTAGATTTGTAATAATTTTCAAATTGAATTGAAGTGATTTTTTATTTTAGCTAATAGTTGACTTGACTTCCAACACTTAAACAAAATTTGAGAACAAGTTAATAGTTCAATTAGGAATTTTTGCTGCTAGAAGATTAATATAAGGATCAAAGATGGAGGGTGGCTAATACTCAAGTAGATTATAATGTTTATTTTCTATTTTGTAAATTTAATTCTCTTCAAATTTTCTATGCTTATTATTAATTAAGAAATTGAGATGAATATAAAATTTTAAGCAAGATCAAGAATATAGATAATAGATATTAGGATTTTAAAACTATCATAGGATTCATTTGAATTGATTAGGTTTTAATTAGGATTTATTAAGAGATGATTAAAATTTGATATAAGATTTAGGATCTAATTAGGATAAATTTAGGATTAAAGATTTTATTAGGATTGATTTAGGACTTAGAATTTAATTAGAATTGATTTAGAATTTAATTAGAATTGATTTAGAATTTAGGATCTAATTAGTCTTGATTTAGGATTTAAGATTTAAGGTTTCTTTAGGATTTCTTTAAGATTTTCTTGATGATTTCTTAAAGATTTATTTAGAATTTCTTAAAAATTTCTGTTTAATTTTTTAAAGACTTTTTTAGGATTTCATATGGATTTTTATTAGATTTATTTACAATTTTTTTAGATTTCTTTTGTATTTTTTTAAATATTTTATTTTTATTTTATATATATATATATATATTTAGCTTTCTTTAGAATTTATTTATTATTTTTTTATGATTTCTTTAGAAATTCTTTAGGATTTCTTTGTGTTTCTTTTATAATTTATTTGAAAATTTAATTGGACTTGATTAATGTTTGATTATATTTATTAAGCTTTAATTACAATTTATATTAATTCTACAAAACTAGTTAAGATTTGTTGTTGCAAATTTCTTTTACCTTCCATAGTCAAGTGCTCCATCCATTCTTATGCAAGATTTCACATAATCTGACAACTATGAAATAATAGAGTGGTCTTTCTACTCTCATATAAGATACTATCAATGGCTTAGAGGACTTATCAACTATTTTCAAAAATAACAAAGATCAAAATATGTAGCAAATACAATTTGTTGCATCTTAGATTTCTTCAAAATATGATGATTGCTCCTTGTCAAACTTCTTCCTAAAAGAAGAGCTATTATCATAGATATACATATTTCTTCCAATAATTGCATATATGATTAAGTAAAAGTAAGTAAAAGTAGATTAATTTCATAATATCTTCTAAAGAAGCTTCTTAGAAGCTTTATAGACACTACTTTGAATTTATATGTATTTGTAATTTATTGGTAGGCTAGAAACTTGGTCAATAAGTTAGCCACATGTCACACATGTTGGTTGCTTATAAAACAAGCTAATTATGTGTCATACATATATATAAAAATAAAATAAAATAAAATAAAATAAAATAAAATAACTCACCTTGCAAGACAAGACATGTGTCTAGCAAATTCAACACACATTTGAGGTCTTGTATAACATCGCCACATAGCTCTTATTAAGAAAGTATATATGGAGGTAAGAGTGAAGCCTTTTTCACTCTTATCAACATCTATCTAGTCTTAAATATTATTTCAAGACTTTCTAGTCTTCTTGTCTTTGATAATAGCTATTTTAGTTCAATATATTACCACCTTTGAGTGACTTTGAAATCTTTTGAAGTGACATAAGAGTATATTGAGTATTCTTTTTTTGAAATTTATGTCATTAACAATTAGTATCTAGTTTCTTAATAAACTTGTAGCAATGGTATATTATTGATATAGTAAGGGAAGAGGAGAATGTTTAAGAAATAAAAAATGAAATAGCTACACAATAAAATAGAAACATCTATCAAGAAATTTTCTTAATTAATTATCTAAATCAAATTTATAATATTTTTAAAATATCTATTTAAATCTTTTATTTTTCATTCATAAGATTATTAATAAGACAAATTAAGTATTTTAAATTATTCATAATTTGTAATAAAGATAAAAAAAATTAATAATTTCATTAAAAAAATTTATAAATAGATTATATCTTTATAATTTTATTAAATTATAATTTAACATTTAAAAATCATAAGAATAAAATTTATTAAAACTTTTATATTTTATAATTAAGATCATATATTTTAAGTATCATAAATAAATTATTTTTTTTTATATTATTTTATATAAATTTAAAAGTATTAATTATTAAAAATTTATTAAAATTTTAAAAAATATATTTAAACTTTTAGTATAATAGTATTTAATTTAAAACTAACTAATACATTATTTTGAATAGGTTAATATTGGATTACAATCAATATAATATAAAAAGATATAAATCATCTTTACTTATTTGTTTAAATAATTTTAATATATTAAATAAAATTTGATTTGAAAATTTATGAAGCATTTAGTTGTGAAAGAAAAATTTCTATAGTCCAAGCTTATTTTTTAATCTATAATAATAAGGTGTTTATAAACACCTTTCTTCAACAACTTCAAGCTTCTCAATAATTCTTAATTTAATACCCTATCAAATCTTAAATCTAAAATCTTGTTGAGCCTTAAGTAAGCCTTAAATCTTAATTAGTAAACTAAAAAAAGATAAAATCTATAATTAGATTATTAAATTATCTGTAAATTTCCTAAAGTATTTCATTCTTTGATCATGTACATAACAAAAAAAATTAAAAATAGATCCAACTTTTACCTTGACAAATACCACAATAAAATCTTTATTATTGTTGCTTAGCTTCTTATTTTGAGTTTGATAGAGAATTCTAAAAGTTGATTTTTTTTATTTGAACTATTAAGAGCCATCCAAATTAAGTACAAAATATGATTACAAAATAAGATTACAAAATTATTCACAAAAAGATCTTTAAATTATCATTTTTAACCAATTTTTAGATATAAAGAATAAAAATTAAACGTAAACAAATATTTTTTACAAAGTTAACTTATAACTATTATATATATATATATATATATATATATATATTGATTATTATGAAGTCTCATATGTTACATCTGAGATGCAAAAAATTATCAAGCATGAAAGGAACAAAATACTATATCTAAAATAAGAATAGGTGCAAATATATAATTAATTCAACAATTCATTTGTTTTAAAACTTGTATTATTGAGCCTAAAATATTTCTAATTTTTCTCTCTTATTTACAATATAAGAACTAGGTTTTAAACAAATCAACAATAAAAACAATAAATATTAAATATCTTAAAATAACAAGATTTTTTAGTAAAAATTTCTATGAGATTGTAGAAGGTCCCACACAACTAAAATCAATAGTAAAAGTTCCCAAAAGACAGTAAAAGATTCTCGAAAATCATTAAAAATAACTATACCACATACAAGAATAAAAGAATGTTAGAATGTTCGAGATAGCTAACAATAGTCCTAGAAAACACTAACCAATACATAAAGTGATTCTAGTACACACAATCATCAACACAACAAAGTGATTCTGGTACACACAATCATCAACACAACAAAGTGATTCTGGTACACATAAGTAATACTAGTAGGGTCCCAAGATGACAACATGAAGAAGTCAGGGCTGAGCTGGAACACTTCCAACAACAGCATCACAAGGCGAGAGATACCATACGGACAGAAGAAGCTGGCACCGCATGTGACAAAAGTTTCGCTTGCCTCTGTGTGGAGTTCTGTGTTTTTATTTCTAATTGCACACTTGTATTCACTCACGATCTCTCACACTTCGAAGAAGACGAAGATATCTGCAGGTCCTTTTAAGTCGCTCAGCTCTTACGGTGATTGTTTATATGTTTATTTTTAGCTTTGAGACATGATTTCGGTGACGAGTTTTTGGTACTCGTTTGTTGCAGAATGGCGGAGATCACGCCAGTGCAAGCACAGATATGGAAGAGGGATACTCTTGTGCTAGGTGGTAATGTGGGTTTAGGTGATGGTTCGGGCGGAGGCACTGTGACGATGGTTTTGAGACGTCAGCTTTCACCGATCTCATCTGCAGAAGTTTTTGCTATGATCGGGCAGTACTCAGTTTTACGAGTTCAAACTTCAAGGTGTTAGTTCTTTATGATAAAGTCTGTCTTAGCCGCGTGGTTAAGTGAGTTCATGTATCTTCGGCGTTTTGTATACCTGTCTATTTGATTCTAATGGTAGTGTTCTACGGGTTTGTACTGACGAGGTTGGTACGTGCAGACAACTTTCGGCTCTATATACGGGAACTCTGGGATTGACTTGCTCTTGTTCGGACGGTTCACTCACATTATCAAACGCTTGGTCCCGTCAATTGTCACAGGATACCACTGGCAATGTATGTGTGCTATTCTTCTTTCTTTTCGTTTTCAATTCATGAGTATTTACACACAATTTATACTGTTCAGAAACAAGTCTTATCGAACAATCTGATTTTACTTGCATTAGTCTGGTTGATTATCCCTTCCAATTTGAGATGCTATTTAGTGTGTTGATATAATCATCTTATTTCATGCATGTGTGCGTCATGATGGCTTTTAGTTGGAATAGTCAAGATTGAAGTGGTGAATTGTACAGATACGACTAGCTATTGGGGGAGACGCTGGAGTTTCAGTTGGTTGGCAAAAGCACGGTAAGAAGAACAGTGGTTCAGCTGACGTGAAGGTATGGATATCGGAGACCTTCTTTCTAGTACGATTAGAGGTGTAAGTGCAGCGTGCCATGAGTCGTCATCGTATTACGTTCCGAATCGATTGCACTTGCGTTGGTCAATAGTACTGACTAGTGGCTAATAGAAAGGATGTTGTTGAGTTGGATCAGTCGACGAAAGGTTGAAACAGCACAAAAAGTACGTGATCGTGGTGATGAATCTGTAATGTTACATGAATAAATGACTGGGATGAAGCGATGTGACAGAGGTATTGTGTGAATTGCCGGTTGTGAAGATAGGGCCTACCACCTTTGGAGTATCTGGGCAATACATACGGCAATTCTCATCCAAGTCCCAAGGTCGAGTCACTGGCAAACTTGGAAGGTTGGTACCATTTCATGATGGTGTTGTCACATGCTGAATGTTGAAAAGCTTGTAATGTTCCTTGCCAATCCTTCCAACGACCAGCTTCTATCTGCAATGAGCAAACGAATGTTGTTTGGAGTGATTAGTTCGATCTCTTATCGGATAGCAGTAATAGGTGTCCATCTGGATGCGACGTTAGTCGTGGTATCTGTCTGAAATGCTGCAAATAATGCTGACTTGCTAATTTGTTTATCGTCTGTGGGTGGTGCAGCACTGGAGTAGAGATTGAAATGGGTGGAGAGAGGAAACTTTCAGAACACAGTTCAGCTGCCATGTTCTGCGTGCTTGGGCCACAGGTATTTCTAACTGGTTCTGTATACTGAGTGTACCAGGGTCTTAACCTGGTAGTGTGAACAGTGTGGTGTATGTAACATATTTCATCGGTACATTTGAAATTGCAGAATGTTAGGGGGAGGTTTATTGAAGAAGCATTTGGATTGCTTTCTTCCTTTGTCAGAAATTTTGAATTGGTCCAGGTAGTGAGTAGTTCAAGCCATGTTAGTCTGAAAAAGCACGGATAAGTTTTGTGCAGATTTGGCTTTTTGCGATGTGTGAATATCCTTTCTGGGATCTAAAGATTGTTGTTTGTGTCTATTTTAGGGTGTATCTTGGAGGCTAAAAGTTCATCATTTTAGTAAGTGGTAGTGTTTTTGGTTTGTAAATACGTGGATGTTAAATTTGTGTATGTTTTTGGAGAACGTAGTTCTTCCATGTCTTGGTTAGTGTAGTTGTAGTTGCAAAATGCAACACTTGAATTGTTCTGATAAGCACGGAGTTTTCCTTATTCTGCCCCCTTTTTTGTTCCCTTATTTTCATTACTATCATTGGGTATTACAAAAATTCTAAAGCAAGTTTGGGGAATTATAAAACATTTTAAAACTATGATTTTTTTTTTTTTAAATGTTCATAAATTTTTGGAAGGTCGCATGTGGCTATAAAAGGTTGTAGAAGTTTTTTTCATAATGACGACATATTTTTTATTTTTTAAAAAAAATTGATTTTGTATTTGAGAATGCCTTAAAGTTTGTTCAAGATTTATTATAGTAATATCAGTTTTTAGAAAGTTTGGAATAAGTTTAGAAGGTGCTCAGAATTACAAAAATTGATTCCACTAAACATAATTGATAAGATTCCTAAATTCATATTTATTCCATAGCAATTTCATCTTTAAGTATATGTCAAACATAACTTAGATTTTGACATAATATGTTTTAAAAGAGAATGTTCTAAAAGACCATGGCTCACAAGTTTTTAGATTATAATTGCATCCAAATAGTGTTAATACAAATAATAATTTTAACAATTAAATTTCACATTCATATACAAAGAGATGGTCCATTGAGTTAACATATCGTTTATTATGTTATTGTCTCGATTTTTTCAACCAAATCATAAATCTATATCTAAAGCAACAATGTTTAGATGAAATATGAGCTTTAAAGACTGTAGATTACATTCAGATTAACCACAATTGACTTTTATGTCAATCAAATTCATCAAGATTACACAATATCTACCAACACTTATATTTAAATCAATTAGAATAACGAAGAATCTTTTTTACATCCTACAAATCTTACCTTTTGTCTTCAAAACAAACACTTAAAAACTCACTCTTCCAAAAAGTAATTCCTGAAAGTAAAAAATAAATAAAAACATAAAAATAAAACAAGCTTCATACATAATTCAAATACTTGACAAATCCCTACAGACCAGTTCAAAAACACTAGACTAAATCTTATCATCGGTCAAATCCCACTTTTATGAGAGAATTTCTTCAGAAACAAACAACCCGATGGAATCGGTGCAAGAGCCTCGAACACCATAAAAGGAAAATGGCTGTGCAGGGCTTAGGCCTCCGACGCGTTGAAAGCACGCAACACTGGATCAAAGCAGATTTGAAAGCCAAGGGAGAGAGAACAGACCGAGCTGGGCATGCATCCATGACACGTGTTGAGCCCCCCAATGAAGGCTCCCTTTGTTGACTGATGCGCATTGACTTCACATGCGTGGGTGGAACCTGCACACTGAATTGACTTCGCAGCAGCCGGAGAGAATACATTTTCATGAAAAATGGACACAGAAGCCCGGACCCACATGGCCAAAACCTTGGGAGAGGTAGTAGCGTTGAGAAGGGTTTCAATGGCGGTCACATTCGTTGACTGGTTGCGTTGAAACCACGGAATGACCCACCAGGTCTGCAATTGAGCTTCGTTGCAGAGATCACTCCTTTGGCCAGATTTTCTTATGGGCTCTTCTCTCTGGGGCTCCGAGTAGGGGCAGGAATGAGGGAGAAAGGAGTCCAGCCGTTTTGACGACTTTCAAAGATGCTTTTTTGACCTTGGAACTGCGAAACAGTGTTGCATCGTCACACCTGTGTTGGAATAGTCAATTTTTTGTTGCATCGACGATGGGGTTCGGGTTTGAAGGGTTCGTCAGAGTCGGGACGCACAAGGTGCACTTTCGCATAAGACCTGTGTGCGCGCATCCTCAAAGGCACGTCCAGTGGAAGCCGAACCCTTGTAGCCCGCGATTGCTTCCTAATTCTCAGGTGAGACATAGCTCTTGTTGGTGTAGCCGTTCTGAAGGACTTGTGTGGATGTGCGGCCACTTCCGATCTGTAGATTGAATGCAAGAGAGAGAGAGAGAGGGTTAGAACTTCGGTGAAAGGGGTAATTGTGGTTCGGTGTTCATAGGATAATGAGCTTGACCCGTCTTAATTTCGATTTCTATTAATTTTGCAGCAAGGGTTGGAGGTTGTGAAATTGGATGTGAGTGGTTCATGTCCAGGGGACGAGAAGTAGACATTTGTGACACTTTGATACGAATCCGTGGGTTGTTCCTCATTTTCCTCTGTTTGTTTCCAGTGAATCTCCAAGAAGCCATCTCTGTTCGCACATTTTAAACAACGAAAGGAGTAATTGCTTGAAGATCATCCGCACAGTTGTTACCGTATAATTGTCAGTGCTGAAATGGGTCCCCAAGTTGTGAAAGTTGAAGACATCGACTTTGCCACAAAGTTCACACCACCGACAGGTTCCACCGAGCTTGATTTGATTGGTTATGGTGAGCACTTGCATCCTGCCTTTCCGACGACATCCTTCTCATAGAAGCATGAGCCATGTCAAGCGTTGCAGAATATAGCGTATTAAGTGCTAGAATATTACTTCTTAGGTCTTATTGAATGCATACTGATGATCGAGAGGTCCACTTCAATGCAGGCAACACGGGAATGGAGATTGAGACCGTAGAAATCAGGTTCACCGCCATAGGCTTCTACGCTGAGCCAAGTATCAGCGAGCATCTGCAGAAGTGGAAGGGCACGCCATCCAGCAATCTTGTCGAGGACGACAGTGGCTTCCACAAAGAACTTATCCAAGCTCCTGTGGAAAAGGCTGTGCGAATCTCCATTATCAAGGGGATCAAGGGCCTTCCCTATGGTAGCGCCCTGCAATCTTCCTTGAGGGACCGGCTGGTAAACAACGACTTATTCGAGGAGGAGGAGGAAGAGGCACTGGAGAAGCTTGCTGAATTCTTCCAGCCCCACAACTTGCCCAAGGGCACCAACATCATCTATCACTGGGCCACCCCCTCCAGTGTCAAGGTACTGGCAGTTTCTGCATGAATGCCTTCAGAACATCATACCATGTCGACTTTAGTTCGTGTAAACCTAACCCACCAACTCAAATCTAGTGAACAGACGTTTTTGTTTTTGTTTTGTTTGTTTTTTTTTTAAATAATAATAATAATAATAATAATTTAAGTGGACATTCTTAAAGAACTTGAACGCATCTATACAGAAAACTCTATTATGAAATACATGGGTTGAGGCTGACTACTTACATTATGCAGGTTTCCCTATCTGAGGAAGGTAAAATGCCTGAAGATGTGGCATACACCATCGACGATGCGCATGTAGCGGAAGCATTGTTGGACCTGTACTTGGGCGAGAACACTATCACGCCCTCCACTCTTGCCTCGGTAGCTGAAGCCATTGCTGCCTAGCTTTTTGCATAAGAAGATACAACGGCTACCAGACGTAAAGGAAATGCAACAAGGGATTATACTCTCAAGCTCTGGGTTGTACATGAGAATGTTCAACGTTATTGTCTAGTTTACAAATCCTCGCACTTCCTTTCTTCTGGAATTCATGATGTCTAATACTACATTAGACACAGCTAGAAAAAACTCTTCATTCTGTCAGAGTGTAACCAGATAAATTTGGCGTAGCTGCGGTGACTATTTTAGCCACTGGTTATAATGTGAAATTCATCACTGTATATGTGTCCACCTATTGCAAACTCCTTAGTCATAACCACTTTAGCATGGTTTCAACCATCGTGAGCTGTTCCTGGTATTATGTACATGTGGGAGAAATTCTCAACCACACAACACACGAACTCCCGAAGTTACCATTGAGAATGTAATACAATGCATTGTGCTACCTTCTGTCCACACATTTATGGCTTCTAATTGTGAATGCAAGCAATTCTTGTTTCAGATTTTCGCATCCTGTTCCTGAGTGTAATCAAAAACACAGTAAATAACTCAAAATTATGTGATGAAGATAGTAATGTGATCGGGTTTTGAAAGATCAATCGTCCGACATTCTACAAGCGACAAACTGACCAGTTTACATTAGTCTTGCGGTCAGAAACTAAACCTAAAACCTCGAAAATGAAAACCGCGTCGAACCTGGAACGGAGTCAAGGCTACACACTTGCGTAGAACACTCAAATTTGTAAAGAGTAGCATTATCTCAATGAACTTCAGCAGCGGGTCCCTCAGATTCGGCAGCGTCTGTAGGCAATGCCTTCAAAACTAGCCTTACCAACTTCCATAGAACTCTCAATTCCTTCCACCACTCACGAGCTGGAACTGCACGAAAGCAAGCGTAGTCGCGAGCTGTGTCAATGTTCGATACAATCCCACTCTTGGCTGCGCTAACATGATAAGAAATGCCCGTCATGTTCCCAATCACAACATAAGACCTCCTTGTGGGGAATCGTGCGCACCCCAGCCGATGACAGCATTGTGGCTAATTTGCGCATCTTGAATTACACCAATGTATAGTATTACGAAGTGGGTGTAATTCCCAATAACTGAGTCTCGCCAGCTGCCGAGATCAATGATTTTTTGAAACCCTTCCTCTTCATGGTTCCCAATTTGGAATCGCATCCACTGCAGATTGCGAGTACACTGTGCCCTCTCCACTCCGCAACTTCACACACTCGTTCCTACCCCTGCCCCCTCAACCTCGCACCAACAGACTTCAACTGTGCCCTCGGAACGACTTCATCCTGGTCATGGACCCGTAATCTCAATTTCAGCAAACCAATAGAAAACTCCTCCTGAAGGTAACAAACCGTGATGAATCCTCCGAATGCAAATGGGAAGGGATGTGAACTGCAGAACGATTGCCCAACGAACGCCATCGCCTTCTTCATTACATCACCCACTGCACAAATCCCCCGTGAAACCCAAACTCCTAATCTCTCTCACCTCCACTGCATTGACAACAGCAACATTTTCGCGAGAATCTCCATTTGAGCCGCACGACGAATTACAACGACTTATCGAAGTAATATTACACGACACAAATGCAACGAACAAAACCTGACACAACCACTCCAACCCACGACCGACACTCGCAATACTCCAAAACCCGCATGGCATGCATCGATCCAAAGGTTGAAAACTTGAACCTCCAAACTCATTCCATCGCCGTTGCAAAACGCAATAACAGCAGCGTCGATTTACTGTCTCTTCAGAGCAAGCCGTGACGAACACTCCCCAACTACTGCCGGCGGAAACAGCCTAGCCCATACACCCGATCGATTACCCGTGTGCTCATCCTTGAGAAACGCGGCATTCAATAGCTGCATCATCGCACAACAACCCCCTGTGGTTTCGATTTCCTCAGGTTCGCTTCTGAATTCATCGTTGGGTTCGAATCCTGTGCCACGAGTTCGGCTTCGGCCTCGCCACCGCCGCCGCCGACTCTGCGAGAAGCTTGAACTAGACTCCCCTTTTATAAACTTCATTGAACATTTCAACGAAAATCGTGTTCCTGGATGAACGACGTTCGTTCATGCTTATCACGGGTCTAGTCTGTAAGATATTTCGTATATATAGAAGTAAGATAGCATTTTCATTTAATAAACACGGAAATATCCTTAAAATATAACGGTCGTGGTGATGTGCTTTGCAATTGATGTAGTGATTATATATATATATATATATATACATATATGTAGATATATTACATAAAATACATTAGATATAAGATAAAGACATAAAGAAGTCTTCTGAATGGTAGAACATAGGTTAATGAGGGAATAGTTGGATATGCCAAAGATCAAGGTGCCAAATGGCACAAGTTTTCACTCGTATCTCTTATATAAAAGAGTTCAAGGGATAAACCAACAAGATAAACTAGAGGAGACACATTGGCTATACATCTTATTGTTTTCATCAAAAGTGAAGCAATAACTCAAAGATCAAAATCTGCATGTTGTTGCTACAGATTGTTGAGAGTAGCATTGTGAGATCATTAGGCTTGGAGCTTAGAAGCATCACAACTTGGAATAGCATGGAATATCGTGGAATGGCATGCAACATGGAATATCACGTCACATGACACCTTAAACAAAAGATTGGTTTACAACACTTAGTTTACAATGTTTTTTTGTGGCTAATGACATAAGTTTCGAGTAATATATATATATATATATATATATATACATACAAATTGATTGTAATTCATGGAAAATTGTGTTGTGTAAAGAATATTGATATTTTATTTTTGTGCATGAACATGATGCAATGAGAATAAATTAACAAAGGGTTTCTCTAAATGTTTACATTTTGATTGGAGATTTTGTATGTATTAATAAGAGTTATTGTGATGAGAGAGTTTGTTATTGCAAAAACTAATGTGTATCAAACTTGTTTACATTGTGTGTCTGTCACATGACACATACATTTTGTTAAACTTGAATGTGAACTCATTAAAGTCAAAATAACTTAAAATCAAAATAACTTTGAGTATTGAGTTCGATGCTTGTCTTTAATTTTCAGTATATGAATGAATTAATAAAGAATCTTCATTTTTCATTTACTTGCCTACTTTGAGAATGTACAATTTGTGTATAATGTACTTTTTTTAAAGTCATATTTAACAAAATAAATCATGAAAATTGCCCAAAAAAAAATTCAACTGCTATAAAATGTAAATAATATCAAGTTTGAATATTTAAAATCTTACTATATATCTATGTTGAGTTTATCTACTCAAAAACTATAAACAACATATACTTCATATAATGTATACAAACTGTGAAAAATGTGCCAATGTGAATAATAAATGTCATAATATTTTTACGAATCTGAAGAAAATATATTAAAGATATTAATTTGTAATACTTTTGGAATCTTGAACAAGTTTTTGAAATTCTTTTTCAAAAAAGCATTTCAAAAGCATTGTCAATGCAAGGGTATGTGAGATCTTTTTTCTAAAAACTCTACGTAATAAAATCAGATCGGTAAGGTTCCATTAACAACATGTTAATATAAATTTTTTTATTCAATTTATAAACATATCAAACAGATAAATTTACCTTTGTCGGCTAAATAAGCAAAGTATAACAAAATCCAACTTCAGTCTTACCAAACTTGTATCTTAACTTGAGTTAAACATTTTGCTAGTGAATATTTTTACAACTTGGCATATTCACTTAGTGGCATTAATTTAATCAATTTTTTCAATTAAAAAAACACTTTATTTCTTTTTTATTTTTTTTTACACTTTTTGGCATAGAAAAACTAGGTCATGTCTTATAGCAAAAAACAGATATTCTAAAGGCTTTGACAGAATGTGTTCAGTCCTAAATAAATATAGTTTATTTTTGACATTATAATAAAAATAATTACTAACTACATTAAGAAGATAAAGTTTCTGAGCTACCTACCTCTAAGCGTTGTGTAGGTGAGTATCCTTTCTTTTCTCCGAAAAGAACTCAATAAAATTAAAAATAAATGCAGTATTAGACTGTTTTTAACATTGTAAAGTTATCATTTAAAATAAATGTTTCATATCTTTCGAAGATTAAACTATAAACTGTGTCTGGGTATCGACATATATATATATATATATATATATGGGTAAAAAGACCACATTTCTTTCCAATGAACTCACAAACAAGAAAAAGGAAGGAAACAGAAGAAAAGAAAAAAAGAAGAAGAAGCTTTTACAGAAATAAGATGATCTCCATCTTTTAAAAAATAGACAACAGTGAAAATATCTCATTTACATAATGATTTATTTATTTCTTGTGCAATTATTTTTTGAAACCATTTTGGAAAATCTTTTCATACTGATTTTCATACTGGTAACTAAAATTATGCACGGTACTGAAGAAATGTAATCACGCTGAGTTTGAATGTGTTCCTATTAATAAAAATATTTTCATATATATATATATATATATATATATATGTTAAAGTGATCTTTGTGTATGTTTTGACAAATATGTATCGACTATTTCTTTTTATACAAATTAATCACATTGAATTCTTGGTTGTCAGCGTGTAGGTTGTTATTTTAAATTAATCCTAAAAATATATTTTTGGTATCAAAATTTTTAAAACCCAATAATATATATGTATGTGTGTGTGTTACTTGAATAGTAATATGATTTATGTGCTTTCTTGTAAATGTTACGTAAGATTGCATCAAATTATTTTTACAATAATTGTACTGTGTTGGATGTCACATAAAATTCTCCGTTAATTTACATTTGCTTCGATAATAATGTAGCAAGGGATTAAAAAAACATTAAAATATTAATATGAACACATCTATCGAGTCCTACAACAGGATGTAGCGTTCAACTTTCGGCAAGTGTTCGTACAATGCTCATTCTAGGTCATTTATAAAAAGATGTTCTTTGAATGCACTCTATTATAGTGAATAATTGAGAATAATTGAGAATAATTGAGCGTAAATGAGGATACTCCATTCCGGACAATGACACAATCCTATTTCAATGTTATCTCATGTATCTTCATGCAACTAAATGAAAATTTTGTAAGGTAAACAAATCAAATTGATCCAACAAAAGAGAAACCACTGAGTCTCATTCCATCCACTGCTTGAGTCTCATTCCATCCACTCGAAACATGTACATCGAGCCCTTTGATGCCGGAGAATGACGCCGCCGGCGGCGGCAGCGGCGGAGAGTGGCAGCCGCCGTCACACAACCTCCCATTGGAAAGGAAAAAAAGGCTGCACTACTGTGCGCACCAGCTTAGAAGTGAGATCCATCTTTAGTCGTCTTTCCTCAGGTAGCGGTGCCAATCTCTAAACTCACCTTTCTGGTAAGAAGATGCGAATAAATATCCAATTATTGTGTGGGAAATAGCGTAGAATCGAGGGCAATCACTCAGTGAAACAACAGTCGCGCACTAATTCCCAACTCCACGCGCTTTGTGCCAGCTCAGACTTCGCGGGGTTGCCAGCTCAGCTCGTGGTGTGGGGTGACTGGACACGTTGGACCAAAGGGGGCTGCTATTGACCACAACTGCAAACTGTTACCACTGAATAGGATCCCTCTTCCCTGCTGCTGGATTTAGAGAATGAGAGCAGTTATGATGGTCACCTGAATGGAAGGAGTTTCACACCGCCTCACAGAATTGGCTTTGAACTTTTGTACCGTGAATCGGACTAGTACTAATCACGGCCAAAATTGTACGTGCTCTGCAGGCCCATCGCAGTCTGGAAACAGCCCTTTCAACCCACACTTAACTCTACCATTAGTCTCTCTTGTATGTTTTCACTGCAGTCTGCGTAATACCCATGTCGTTAATTCAACCCAAAGTCATTAAACTGGAAGCTGGGTGGAGTTTATGGTGGGAAGAGGGGGATATAGCGGGCAGGGGAAATCCCACCAACCCGCGCCGCCTGATCCGATCTTGTATGTCCGACGTCTAGCGTGCGAGGCCCTTGCAGACCGTGCTTCGCTCCGGGAACTGGTTGTCTGGTTTTGTCCAGTTTCCATGGTGAAGGTTCATCGATCAACGTCCACTCCAAGCGGGGCTACAGCACTTGGTCAAGTCTGTAGGAGTGGGATTCGCAGCGTGGAGTCATTTCCGAATGGCGAGGCTGCAGTTAATCTAGGTTGGGGCAAGGCGAGGCAAGGCAAGGCGAGGCTAAGTCAGACTGCCAGCTTGCATTCAATTAGACCCTGGAGGACTTCGGGAGGTCGTCGCTGTCGTTGTTCTCCGTTTTTTTCTGTGCAAGTCGTGTGAATTTTGAGAGAATCCGAGGTTGTGCCAGGAGGCAGAGAGGTGGAGGTGGTGGTATGTGAAGAGAATCTGTCTAGCGTGGTCGGTGATGTTGGGTTTTTGTGTTCTGTGGCTCTAGCTGAGGAAGAGGAGGGAGAGGGAGAGGGGATGCTTTGTAAGGAGGAGCAACGCCGGAGTGGGTGATAGCTGCAGAAGTAGTTGGCGGTACTGGATGAGGCGTGGTGGAGAAAGGTGGGTGGGGTAGTTCTCGAGGTTGGTGGCTTGGTTCGTGTGAGGAGGGTGACAGTGATTCACAGAGAGGACGTGTGATTGCTGTGTACGAAGTTGAGGAGAAGCAGAAATTGTCATGTGGGGGTGAGGAGAGTTGTTGTCTTGGTTTTTCCTTGTTTTCCTTGTTTTCCTTGGTTTTTTTTGGAGTTCAGTTGTCTCTGTTGTCGATGCTGTTGTTAGAGCTTTACGTCTGCGTTTCTCCCGGTCTGTTTGGTGAATTGAACTGGACTGTCTCTTTGATGTGGTGGGTAGGCCATCATCAATTGTAGAACCGGCATTTCTCACCTGGTGGCTTGTTCCTCCCCAATGCTGGGTCTGCTCGGAAAGCCCCACTAAATGGCATCCCAAATTTGCAATACTGATCTCAAGAGTGATAGAGCTCCAAGACGTGTCACCTCGAGCTGCAATCTAAATAGTCGTCGGTGCGTCTCCAGCGAGGTTTAAATCTCGTGAGAGACTTAAGTTTTCAGTTACCAGTTTTTTTGCTTTTGGATGAAGTAGCGCTCACACCGAGAGGGAGCAATGAGCGTAACCGACATATTGTTATAATTAGGAATCGACCCAAGAATTAGTACACGCTTTATTGACTTTTGAGTCCCAGGGAGCGAGTTCTTTTTTCCCTTTCAACTTCTTGAAGGGGAATGGAGGTTGACTGCAATGGCCTGTGCTTTAAAACCTTCGCCAAGCGAGGCAAAGTGCGTTAGTATTCCTGTTGTCCATCGCTTGTCCTAGTTGCATAAACTTCGGAAGGTCGGGAACAGCACAAGTGCTGCTTGAATTGCTTAGACGTGTTAACTGGTTAGAGTCGACGCCAAAGGCTAAATTAATTTTCTGGAATCGGAACATCTTTCAAGAGCAATCGGTAATTGTTTCTCTTGTACTCATCCCAGCTTTCTGGAAATTATTTCCCTCTCGGAGACTTCGAACCTCCGCTTTTGCCGGGTTTTCCTTTGCGCACAGCGTGTTTCAAATTTTGGCTACAGAGGAGTATGCGTGTATAGTCGACCGTGGTTAAAATTTAAACTCACCTTCCTGTTTGGGAATTCCTTAAACAGACACGCTCTTAGATTCATCTTGAATTGTTAGCTGACTCGTTAGACTTAACTCGAGGATCATCGCAATTCGAGGCTTTGCCTTTTCCTATGGGATGAGCCGCCAGGCAAAGGTTGTGCCAGCAGGTGGTTTAAAGCGTTCTGACAATGTGTAGGCTGCGTGCATGCTCTCGACGACCGTGGAGATTTGTTTGAAACTCTCTGTAGAACTGTTAGTTGGAGATTGACTGGGTCTCTTGTAATCTTGGAAGTTTACAACACAGTCATGGAATAAGCCGGTCAAACCAGCGTCTCGTTGAATGTGTTTTTTTCAGAAACCAGGGTTGAAAATTCTGACTTGTCGAGCGATGAAAAGTATATGAAAAATATTTTATCTGCTCTAGAAATCTGGCCATTTCTTAGCGTGTCACAAATGAAGGAAGTCTCATCAATTGAAGGCTAACTCTGTTTTGTTGTTTCTTTGTTATCTCAGGTGGCACGCAGCTCTTGCCTCTTGCTTATTCGACTACTGAGAAGGAACGAGGGGTTATCCACGAACTGTTCTTGCTACACAGAGCGTGAAGGATTAGAAATTGTAGGTCGAGCCGACATATTGACGAGTTTGGCGCTGGAAACGTTGGAATTTCTTTCATGAGTCAAATAGCAGATTCATCGACGCACTAGAACGCTAGAATTCTTCGCCATGGGGTGCACAGTATCCAGAGAGGGCGCCGCCTTCTCGGAGCGGGACAGGTTCGGTAGCATGCGGAGGCTCGCGAAGAGCAGCTCTTTCACACAGCTCAGATCCACGAAGCCCCGTGACTTGCACTATGATTACCATGTCGTGGCACTTACGTCCAGCACCTATGGCCTCATGAAACTACTGGAATCAGAGAAAGTGAACGGGCACTTGGTCTCTGTGATCGGGGGCAAGGGCTCCGACGCATCCAACTTCAGGACGATCCGGAAGTTGGAGGATACGCCCGGCAGCGAGAAGCCTCCCAAGAAGTGGGCCGACATGGCCATGGGAGTCTCCAGGTTCAAGCTGGAGCAGATTAGAAAGGAACAAATTGAGGCAAAATACCCCTTAAATCCTGTAATCCCTGAAGAAAAAGCACCGGAATCCAGTGGAGCGGAGACGATCAACACATGGGAGCTCATGGAGGGACTAGACGATCGCATGACCCCTCTTGTATCCCCCATAAGGACTACCGCGGTTTCGACGAAAGAAATTGACACAGAGCTTCTGGACAATGTGTCAGATGCTCCCACGCTCAAGACTTTTTCCCGCTCGAGATCGCTGTCTGCTGTTGAAGGGCTCAAGCTGTACAACAACACAGCTATTATGAGACCCGCCCTTGGAGCTATGGAGTCCTCGTTCTCCGCGTCCAAACCTCCCACCAAAGAAAGGTTTGAGTACTTGGGGGACAGCATGGATTTCTCCCTGAGAGTCAGAGGACCGCTCGGAAACGCAGGCGCACCGGTGAATTTCTCTCAGGGATTTAGCGGCCCACTTAGTAGTTCAGGTTTGCCAGCAGAATTTGCACAAAGATACAGCGGACCGTTGACCAGTGCGGGGTTGCCGAGTGGGCAGGTGATGGGTTTTCCAATGCAGGACTTCCAGACAGAGTTTCCATCGGTTTCGGAGGTCTCTCATGGTGATGAGACGACTGACAGCAATTTATTCGACCCTGACAGCAATTTATTCGACCCTGACATCTTGGCCACATTTCAAGTCATGGCGCATCCGGAGGAGAGAACGTCCTCCGAAGACGGTTGGTGCCATGTTCGTGGCAGTGATGGCGAGGCGTCGACGTCTGGGAGCACCGGCGATGGAGATAGCCCCGTCCAATGGGCTTGCCATGATCAAAGCTTGTTCTGTGACTCGGTGAACATCTGCGATGGCAGCACTGATACTGGCCCCTTGACAACATACGGGCCTCGCAGGTTGTCCTTTGCGAAGGTGGCGCCAGTCGACACTTCGGAGATTATCGACCCATTGTCGCAATACGAAACGAAATGCCCGCCCGGTGGAGAGCACCGCGTGGTGCTGTATCTGACGAGCCTGCGCGGCATCCGTAAAACGTTCGAAGACTGTCACAGCTTGCGGATGATCCTTCAGAGCTTCACTGTGTGGATCGACGAGCGCGACGTCTCCATGCACGCCGAGTTCCGGCAAGAGGTGACGGATCTCCTCGGTGGACCCGTCATGGTCCCGCGTTTGTTCATCAAAGGTCGCTACATCGGGGGATCCGATGAGGTTCGCCGCCTTCACGAGGAAGGCAATTTGGGCCCGCTGCTTCAGGATCTACCCGTTGTCCAGTACCGCCAACCTTGCGACGGTTGCGGTGGGGTCAGATTCGTCCCGTGCCCGGAATGCAGCGGCAGCTGCAAGATCATCACTGAAACCAATGACGTCGCGCAATGTCCCGATTGCAACGAGAACGGTTTGATCAGGTGCCCAGTGTGTTTCTGATAGATTATTCCACACCATCAACTCCCTCCCAACTTGCGAGAATCCGACCAGCAGTGATTGTTCCGGTCATCATCAACTCGAGAAACAGTGCATCCCACCCCATGGACACAAGGGTGGGAGAGTGTATATATACACAACAATAAACTGGCTACCTCGTTCTTACAGTTTAAATTCTAGAGGTTCACCGATGACAGAATCCCTAGATCGACACAGGCTGCTGGAATACGTAATTCTATCACTCAACTTTGAAGCATGTTCGGTGTCTTTATCTTTATACATTTCTGTACACTACTCCCAAATGAATATGAAACTCCGTGACTGTACACGAGGCCAGACTGGAGACTCACCGGGCATCTAGACGACGCAGACCTTCTCTCATGGTGAGTCGCATTGTCGCTACTCATTCAAAGCTCTTCATTCAATGCAGATCAGGGGGTCTGATTTGAATATAATCATGCTTTTACAAACTCAGCTAATGTTGATATAACAAGAATTTTGTTGCGAACTTCTTCACCTCCTGTTCGAAGCTTACAGATATCATGGTCTGCTTTGAAGAATGTTGTAGCATTCGATTCATTACCATGGTTTTTACTAACTCGGCTGATGTGCACACACTGAGACAACTGTTGCCTCGTTCTCTGTGTACTAATTTGCTTTTCTTGTGTTTTGTGAAGGTTATGAGATTAATTCAGATTTGCTGAAGACTTAGACTAGTGGTTTAGGCATCTATGGGCGAGTATGTGTGTCGGTGAAACTCAGCATCAGCAGCCCAGGTAGCAGATTTTTCCAGCAATGAAGCTGGATTTCTGTCAATTTTGCCGATTTTTGCGCACCTCTGTTAATGCCATCGCATGTCAATATGTTGAAACTTTTCAGGGTTTTTGTGACAAGGCTTGTAGAATCTATTTAATGTTGAGTGGCAATAGAAATAGGCTTGTTGGTAGGTTTTACTACTATTAATTCTTACGCTAAAAATAGGCCCCATGACTGATGTATTTTTATTTGATTCAATCTTTACTTAGGCGGTCATTATTTTACTTCTTATATGGTGAAAAGTTATATGTTGCCAACCTTTTTTTGAGCTTTCCTCTTGATGATTTATGTTGTTGATTCAATTGCATGACTTCGATAGTTTTTTGGGATTTACAGTAAGTTTTGTAAATAGTTTTTTTTATCAAAATGATTACTAATATACTATGATGTTCAGAAAATAATTGTTTAAAAATCCTCATTTATTTCTATTAAGGTGTATTTTCATTCACATCCAACCAAATATATATATATATATGTTTTAACAAATTTAAATAATATTGTATGGTTTATTGTTACTAAAATCTAATAAATTGAAATTCATTTCAAAATTTGATGATATTGTTAGATTTTGTCACTATTTTGTTGAGAAATTGTGGCTTGTTATTAAATACATAAAATAAAAGAGACAATTTAATTCATCTTTTATTTATTTATTAACATAATATGCTCTAAACTAAGTTTATTTATTCATTTTTGTCAAGATTGATGATATCACTCTTATTTTATTAAGAAACTAAGAAGAATTTTCCTTTATTTGTTTATCCATCTTGTGTTGCTCCCTGTTAAGCTATCTTAGCTTGCTTTTCCAAATTCCATATCAAAAAATATATTCTAATAAAAATTGTTTCCTAGGTCCTTTTATTTTATATTGATTCAAGCAAGTAGTGCAAATTTGGTGGATCATAAGTCCATATCAATAGGGAGATTATGAAAATATATATTTTATTTAAAATTTTGTGTTTACTTTGTATTTTGTTACAATAGTTGTATTTGTGAGGTTTTCTTGATATTATAGCTAGTAATTACTACAGTAGCAATTCATGTCCCTTTTGTATTATTATTGTTATTTTTGTTATTTTTATTTTTATTTTTATAATGGTTGTTAGAAGATTTTGGTAGCAATCAAGCCTCTTTACAAGAGTAAAATTATTTTTATATTTTAATTAGAAAGAAAGAGTGAGATCTTAATTGCAATCTAACTTTCTTACATTATTTTTCGATTGATATGAGAATAATTTAAGTAAAAATAAAGCTTCCTTGCATCAAACATTATTTTTAATATTCCAAAAAATAAAGAAAAAAGGTCTAGGTCATTATGTAGCCTCTTCATATTATTATTTGCTTGTTTGATAGAAAGACTTTAATTAAATTTTTTGCAACAAACTTATTTTTTATATGTAAGTAGTAAAATATTTATACATTTTTTTAATTCTTTGTAATAGTGCAACAATCTTACATATTTTTATTTTTATTCTTTTTTTATAAATTTAAGTTTGACTAATTACAATGGTCAAACTTTGATAGAATATATTAGCCTCCAACATTCTCAGATATTATTTTTGGAATTATTCTTGAAGTATCTTAAAAATTTGTTACTTATAACTTTGTATTAGGTTGTTCTATAATATTAATTTAGATTTTAAATCACTAGTTTGTGATGGATAATTATAAATTCTATTTAATAGTAATTCTTATTTTGATCTAATAGTTGATTTTGCTCTCTATTTTTTATTCAATCTCTTAATTATTAAGATATTGGAGTAGAATATTTTCTAAATTGTTTCTAAGATCTTCTTAAATAATTCTATTTTGTTTGTTTAGAATTTCTTAAGTTTTTTAATATGTAGTATTTGTAGTCCATGTCTTGTTTACAAAATACATAGCATTTTTTATGTTCAAATTATCTACTAATAATTTTTTTATAAAGAATTTATATTTGGTGGATTATTTGAAACTTAGACAAAATACTTCACCAAAACATTTTTGGACTTAAGATATGGCTTGATAATCAAGCTATGTTCTTAACAAACCTTTGGTAGTAATTTTCCAAACCAATAAAAGCTCTAAGATGTAAAACATTAATTGGTGGCAAGATTTATGTAAGGAGTCTATCTTCTTATACACCAAGGCCTCCTGAAATAGTCATGTGGCATAAGTATGGTAATCATTTGTAAAAGAATTTACACTTGCAATGATCCAAGTATAATCCATGTTGTTGTAATTATTCAAACACTTCTTATAAGTACTTCATATTGTTGAGAATGTTTAGAAAGATACAAGAGTAATAGTAAGTCATACACACACACAAGAGTAGTAGTAAGTCATACACACACACAAGACTAGTAGTAAGTCATACACACACATAAGACTAGTAGTAAGTCATACACACACACAAGACTAGTAGTAAGTCATACACACACAAGACTAGTAGTAAGTCATACACACAAGAGGGTTTCTAAGGAGAGAGAGCTTCACACACACACATCTATTGATCTGGTTGTGTCTCATATACAAGAAGAGAGAAGATAAGAGGATGAACAATACTTCTCCGCTAGACTCTAAATACTTTAGCTATGGTAATTACTGTAGTCTACAATAAATATTATGGAGAGCGTCAACTACATTTAATGATCTCAACACTCTTCCTCGCTCATCATAATATTTACATAATATAAAATTTATATAGATTTATGATCTATACTTTTCTGTGATCTTGCAAGATCAAGAATTTTTGCCTCATTAAAACCTTATCTAGGAAAATCTTATTTTATTTAAGGACAAAACCATAGATGAAGGAAAAAGAGTACAACATCATTTTCTTTAATTATTTAAAGAGCTCATTAACTTTCTTATTCAAGAAAAGCAAGTCACCGCATACCAATGCCATAAATAAGTCGACAATGATTACTTAATGGGAGAGCTTTGGTGAAGAGATCAGCAAGGTTATTTATAGATTCAATTTTTTTAATTATAAGTGCTTGATCAGTAATCAAGTCATGAGTATAACTAAAATACTTTGGATCAATATACTTTGTCCTGTCGCCTTTAATGAAACCAACTTGCATCTGTACAACACAAGCACTATTATCTTCATGCAAGATAGTTGGAGAATCATCATATAAAAATCTACAAGTTGTTTGAATGAATTTATCAATTGATCGCAACCAAATACATTCTCGAGATGCTTCATATAAGGCAATAATTTTTGCATGGTTGGATGAAGTTGTAGTTATTGTTTGTTTCACTGATTTCCATGATATTGCAGCTCCATGTTTTAAAAATACATATCCTGTTTGAGATTTAGCTGTTGTAATATCAGATTTATATCTTGCATCATAATATCCAATCAATTTTGGATCTGCAGATTTTGTGTAATATAATCCCAAGTCTTCAGTACTTTTTAAATAACGTAATAAATATTTGATGCCATTTCAATGTCGTAGTGTTGGACGTGGACTATGTCTTGCAAGAACACTAACTGCAAATGCAATAGCTGGTCTTGTAGATGTAGCTAAATACAAAAGTATTCCAACCGCTACGAGGTATGGATATTGGTCTCCCAATATTTCCTCCTTCTCCTTGCATGGATGGTATGGATCATGACCATCACGACCACGTTCAACCATTGGTGTGGATAATGGATAAGCATCATTCATATTAAATCTTTGTAAAATTCATCTAATATACGTTAATTGGTAGAGAAAAATCCTACCATCTGTAAGATGCATAATCTGGAGACCAATGCAAAAAGTTATTTTTCCTAGCATTTTCATCTCAAATTCACGTATAAGTAGGTTTGTAGCTATAATACATGTAGATGTAGTGCCCACTAAGTTAAGATCATCAACATATATAGCTGTCAAGGACAAGAACTCGATGAAAAAATAATTCAGACAAGTGAGCCTTCACTCAAAGAGAGGTAACAAAATATATATAAACAAGGATATATATTGAAAGAGAAACTGGAATGGCTATTGCCAAAAGACAAGAAAACTAAAGACCCTTGAAACTAGACTAGAAGCAAGAAAAGAGTTGACAAGAGTGAAGAAGCCTTCATTCTTATCTCTATATATACTATCTAACTAGGGGCTACGTGGCAACGTTCTATAGGACCTCCAATATGTGTTAACTTTGTAGAACACATGCCTTGACTTACAAGGCAAGTTTTTCTACGTGTGGGCCACATAGTTAGCTTGATCTTCAAGCTAACAACATGTGTGGCACATGGCCAACTTGTTGACCACGTTTCTAATCCAAAAAGTCAATTAAAGACACCTATGAAGTCAAAGCAACATCTATAAAGCTTCTAAGAAGCTTCCATATTAAATACTATAGAATTAACTTACTTTTACCTACTTTTACTTACTTCTACCTATTTGTATATGTAATTACTAGTTTACATAGTTATGTCTGTGACAATAGCGATGATCACAAAACTAGTTTTATGTCGTTTGATAAACAAACAAGGGATTGATGGATCACTTATAAAATTATTTGTAATTAAATAATCTTGAAGACGTTGATACGACATTCATCCGGATTGTTTTAAACCATACAAGGCCTTACATAATTTAATACCACGATATTTTCCTACAGTGGGTTGATTTGGAGTTCTTGTTTCTAAGCCAAGTGGAACTTTCATATAAATATTTGCATCAAGAGAACCATATAGATATGCACTAACTACATCCATGAGATGCATCTCAAAGGTGGCATAAACTGTCATTCCAATAATATATCGAAATGTAATTGAATCCATGACTGGAGAATATGTGGATTCATAATCAATGCCAAATCATTGAGTAAATCTTTGAGCAACAAGACGAGCTTTATAGCGGATTATTTGGCCTTAAGCATCTCGCTTGCATATTAATACCATTTTATATCCTACAAGGTGAGATGTAAGAGTGTTTATAATTGGACCAAAGACTTTTTTCTTACGCAAAGAGGCATACTCCTCTTCAATAGCAGTTTTTTATTTTTACCAACCAGAGCGACGCATCGCCTCTTCGATGGTTTGAGGTTCAAGATTGTCTTCCTCGCAAGAAAAGACTTCTATAATTATATATGCAAATGATTCATCTACCATAATAGATGGTATGTCCCAAATATCATCTGTAGCATAATACAGAATAGATAATTCTTTACTCAACTTGTTCTTATTCCTTCCAATTCCAAGATTATTTTTTATAGGAATTGAAGGTACATTATGCATTGATATATCATCATGA